GAAACACTGCTCTAGATGCTCTGGCCATAAATGACAAAATCAGAAATAAAATTAAATAACCAGCAGAACATAAAACTTCCCTTTCCACACACTCATAACAGCCCCATGACCCTCTCCCTCCCCTGGCAGCAGCCTGAGCAAACAGGTGTGCCTTGCAACACACCCTGAGGAGCTACTTTGGCCTAAAGTGTGGGGAGCTAAAGCCTATTCTGGAACTTTTTGCCACCATTCCCCTCTCTTTTATAGAGAGAAGAATTGGTCTTGAGCACCTGCCCCAACTGCAGATATGGCAGGTCATGTTCTATCAGCTATTAAAATGTTAAAATCAGTTCAACTTTGTCTTTCTCGCTTATTGGGCCTTCTGCACAGTGAAATTCAAAAATTCCTGAAGGCATGGTTGCACTGTGGGAATGCAATGGGAAAACTGCTTTATATTGGTACAGGTGCATGTGCATCCACACTACCAATGTAACAGTAAAACTCTAACAACGTATATTACTCCATAAAGTGGAATGACTATGATGAAAAAGATGGAGAGTTTTGTTGGTAGAAGACAAAAGGAAATATGGATGCAAGCCAGGCTATGCCAACTTCTGTTGATCTAGCTACTGCCTCTCGGGGAAGTGGATTACCTGTACCCATGGGAGAACCTCTCCTACTAATGTGGTGTCTATACTGTTAGCACTACAGTAAGGCAGATGTGCTATTATAGCGTTCTAAGTGTAGGTAAATCATAATTTGTAGGTCTAAGACCAAAGCAGTTTAGAATATAAGCCTAACATCAGGAAAGCCAGACACACCAGGCCCCTAGGCAAGATGTGTGTGTGGGGCTCCTTGATCTCATAAGCATGGGACTAGGGCAGCCGGCCCTCAGCCCCTGGACTGCTCGAACTGTGCCCTCCTCTCAGGGCTGTCCAGAGCCAGCATCAATTTAAAGGACCTGGGGGTCCAGGCCCTGCCACAGTAATAGCAGTGGCGGTGGGGAGCCTTGGACCTCTTTGAATTGCCAGGCCCTGGGATGTTTGCCCATTTTGCCTCCCCTCCTGTCAGCCTATATTGCAGCTGGACTTATTTCTCACATACAAACTGATCCACATTATATCACCAGTGCTCCATCTCTAAAGTTATATAGTTTCCTCTGTCCATAAAACTAATAATCAGTCATTTGCAAGTCAATGTATACAAACAAATATTTGGGGCAGCTGTTATTATTATTGTCTGTAACTTTCTCTGTTGTTCACACACAGGAATTCCTTTGGTCTCATAAATACTAAACAGAGTCCTTCCCTTTGCCTGCCCCTCCCCCTTTAACTGTCAGATAATTACACAGTTGGCTTTAGAGTTTAACTTGTCAAAGGAGTTGCCTTACTTTGTTCCTTTCGGGCAGCTTCTCCTATTGTGCTCTCAGAACACTAAACAGAACCTATATTAACTGTCAGTTAATTACACACCGTTTTCTTCAGTATTTACCAGTCAAAGGGGCAGGTAGGCTGCAATCATATCATCTCAATCACTGTCTCTGCTCACAAAAGAATCAATAAAGATGAGTCACTTGGTGTCACCCAGTGTCTGATACTCAAAGCCACCCATTCCTAATTGCCTTTAGAGATGGATGATAATACAAACTTTGAAGTGATAATCAGCCTAATGAGTGGCCTTGCTGAGAGGGTAGATCATGTGTCAGAACAGTTTGCAGATGCTTACAGGCAAACAAAGCCAGCTTTCCTTTTAGAGCTGAGAGGACCATGGCAAGTCTGGTACCCAGAGCACAGCACAATGGCAGAGACTGGCGCACAGCAGGACACTGAGCCTGCTGATCACAACTGACTCCATCCATCTTGCTCTTTGCCTTTAATCACCATGGTCAGAACAAGGCTCCCAGATTTCTGCATGTTTACACTGGGTATTTAGGCAATAATTGTACAACAGATAAACTCTCCAGTTCCGAATCTTTGGATTTAAATAATAGTGATTGGACTTGATAGGTAATGATCAGTGAGCCTGGCTAAACTTTTGAGTAAGTGTAATTAAATGCCATTGGGTGCAGCCAGCCAGGCAAAGGCAGAGACCACAAAAAGGTCATTCAGACAGCAATGAAAACAAATAGCAGCAGCAAAAACAAAGTCAGTGTTTGCTTTACTAATAAGAGCATGCTCTGAGGCCTGGTCTGCACTCAGTATTTCACTGATTTAACTAAATAATAGAAAAAAAACCCTGTTAAATTGGTTCAACCCCTAAGTGTGGCAGCAGTTATAATGATATAAAGGTGTTTATTGTGGTTTAGCCAAGTTACATCAGATAATGAACTGGGATCATCTAGCTCTGTGTGTGCGTGTTTATAATATGGACTTTGTTTGCCTGTAAGGATCTGCAAATAATGCGTGTGTGTATAAAACTCTTTAGTGTGGATTCAGTATAGAGATACTGCATTCATACTAAAGAGTTGTATTGATTTCAAATCATGTTCTGACCCTTGTGGTGTAGGAATTGAATGTAAACAAGTCCTCAAAAATATCCCCACAAAGCCTGTTACTTGATATGAGTTAGTTTTAAAATAAAATGTGATATACCTTTGTGTGACTTGGTAGGCTAATATAGGATTTAGCACATCAAGGCTACGTCTGCACTGCAGCACTATTTCAGGATACCAAAGGTATCCCAAAATAGCTATTTCATGACTTTTGAGCGCACCCGTTATTTCAAAATATAATGGGCTTGCTATTCCAATGTCCCTGTATACCTCATTCCACCAGGAGTAAGGGACGTTTCAGAACAGCGATTTATTTCAAAATAAGTGCTGTGTAGACAGTGCCAAATTTTGAAATAAGCTTCCCAAATCTTGGGTGCACAAAGTCATCTTTATAGGGGAGTGCCTTTCACTGTTACTTTACTGTGTATGTTCTCTTCAGACTCTCTTTTGGCTTATCAGTAACAGCTCTGAATTGGGCTTTAATAAAGCCCCAGATGGTTTTCCACAAGTCTGTGTGGATTGGTATCTCTGATACCATGTGGTCTAGTCCTCCATCTCTTCCTGCTCCCAAAGCACCGTGGAGTAATGGATTCTAATAGCAACACATCCGCAAGACCTGGTGCAAGAGGCTTTGTGCTATACAGTCATGCTGCATCTAGACTGCAGGCTTCTTTTAGAAGAAGCTTTTCTGGAAGAGATCTTCCAAAAAAACTTCTTTCGAAAGAGAGCGTCCACACTGTCAAGCGCATCGGAAAAGCAATCTGCTTTTTCAAAAGAGAGAGTCCACACTGAATGGATTCTATCTCGCATTTCAGCTGTGATTACTAAGGATGGAGTGGTCACCAGGGCACCTGTGCTTTTTCCTCTTTCTGTTTCTTTCAAAATAACTCCCTCTTCCCCATCCACACACATCTTTTTCCAAAAGAGCACTTCCGGAAAAGGCTTCTTCCTCATAGAAAGAGGTTTACCAATGTTGGAAAAACCCCTCTGTTCTTTCGATTTTTTTTCCGAAAGAATACAATTGCAGTGTGGACGTAAGTGAAGATTTTTTTGAAAAATGGCTATTTTTCTGAAAAAACTCTATAGTGTAGACATAGCCTCAGTATGCCACAAAAACATGAAAGGTCTACCCAGGAAACAGCACCATGGCAGTGTTGTGTTAACACTTAACCCAAAGAGTTTCCAATCAACATAATTTTCTCGTAGCCCAAATTTATATTCTTATTGAATCCCACACACACACCCATTTTAAATGGTCAGTTAACATTACTCAAGTATGTTTTCTAGCAACACAATCACTAAAATTCAAGGAAATCACCAATTAAGCCAGCATCCATATGCGTATAAATGTCAGCTCTCATGACATGCTACCCTAACATGTTAACACACAAAGACATTCACAGCCTTCTCCACTCAAAACAAAATCCCATTTCTATTGTAACTACATACCCAGCTATCATGCTCACATGCAGCTCTTCATAATCACACTCAAACTTAAGTAAATAGAGGTAAAATTATCTGTTGACACATCTGTATCATTGAAGTCTACAATGTGTTGTGTGAAAAACAAATTGTATTGAGGTCGGAATTAAAGTTGTGTATTTGAGTGTATGTGATTGTAATTTAGACCTGAAAGAAAGTTGTGAAGCTGGGAAAGGTGCATATATGTTTGAGTATGTTTGTATATATTAATAATACTTATGAATTGATAGTAAATTCCAAAGAACAACCTTAATAATTTTGATTCCAAGTTAAACAACTTTTGGTCTTTTTTGGAGGGGTAGGGGCAAGATTTCCCAGGTTTTTTGAGGCATATTTAAATAATTAAATTTAGCTTTAATTTCAATGCAAATTCATTGCCACTATTGCATCTGCAGAATAGCAGACAAAAAATAAGAGGCAGAACCTCATAGCTTGATGAAACTATGAAAATGTTTACCAGATGAAGATCTGTCCAGATGTATGTTTGTGAGATCCCATATTTGTAAACAATTTGCTGAATTTAATTTTAAACAAAATAAATTTGACTTTCAGTGTTTGCTGGAAATCAATTCCCTCTATCTTATTTTAGGCCATGAGAGCCTAAGGAGAGATATTCTATAGGATGTGGCATATGACCAAGATGTTTATAAAAAAATGACTATTGATTCTGGGGATGATTAAACTAAAAAATGAACTTAAATAAACTTAAATTAATCTGATTTTAGCAAAAGTGTGAGTTTAGCACTTTCTGGTAATTCGATCCTTTTAAAGTGTCTTGTCTAATTGGGCATCCAAAAATTGAGGCTGCTAAAATCACTACAGATTGAATCTCCCTGGTCTGGCACCCTCACAAGGGAATTTGCCAGACCAGGGGAGGTCAGGCGTGTGGGCTTTCCTAGGGCTTCCCTCCTGGCCGCTGCTCCAGGAGAGCCTGGAGGGCTGACCTTCTTCAGCCCACTTGCCTGGTTCTGCTGCTCCCAGCCTGCTTGGGGGGGCGGGGCTCTTTTCCCAGGGTTCCCCCAGCCCTGTGTGAGGTAGCAGCTGCTCCTGGGGTTCCGCAGCCCCATGCAGGCCACAGCTGCTCCAAGGATTCCTTGCCATCAGCCCCATGCAGGGCGGCAGCTGCTCCCGGGGTTCCCTGACCCTTGCCACCTGGCCCTGCACAAGGTAGCAGATACTCATGGGGCTCCCTGCCTCCATCTCCCACTGGGTGGCAGTCTCCCCTGGGGCTCTCCACCCCAGGTCATTGGTCCTGCAGGCTGCCGCTAACTGGACTGGCTCCTCTCCCTGCCATTCTCAACTTCTTTAGCCAGGGCTCTCTAATCTAGCAATATCTGTAGTCCTGCTGGACCACAGATGTTGCAGGACCACAGAAATCCTAGACCAGAGAGGTTCACCCTGTAGTGATATTTGAAATTTTTGGCCTATGTTTATATTTGCTGCTTGTATAGTGCCAAATACTCAGTCTTCTCAAGAAATGTTTCTCTTAAGTAAAACAAATGTTCCAACTTTGCGGTTGGGGTGGAAGAAAGAAGGAGGAGGGTGGAGTCTGGGGAGACCATAAAAGTTTGAGTTAAATATTTATTTTTTCTAAATACTTTATTTAAATGTAAAATAGTGGTTTAGATTTACAATAATAATGTTCTTAACATAGAATCTAATTTGCTTTTCAACCCCATTGTTCTCAATGTATTTTACAAACACTGACACCCACAAAAATCTTTGTGTGGTAGAGAAGGTATATTTAGGAATCATGACTGGATCGACCCCTGAAATGCCAGCTCATTTGGAAAGGAATATAGCCGATAGGAAAATGAATGGCAAATAGTACACAATTGCTGGACAAAGTAAAAGAAAATACCATAAAAAACTGAAATTGCAGGAGGAATTTAAGGTAGGCAAATATGATTACTGGAATTGGGTTTTGGGCAGGACAATAGGGTTAACATTCTTATATATATAAAAATGTGATAGAAGTGTTAATGACCAAAACTAATGACAAATTATAAGCTCCTTTTTATGGTTCCAGGAGCAACATAGTGTTAAACATAAATTCCATACTGATTTAAGCTCACTCTTGCGCCCATTGAAATCAATGCTAATTTTATCATTAACTTCAATTGCAGCAGGATCAGACCCTCAGGGTGTGTCTAGACTACATGCCTCCTTCGACGGAGGCATGTAGATTAGCCAGATCGG